CTAATTTCCTTGTGTTTAGACATCAAAAGCCGAGTGACGAGATAGCAACATTTGACCTTTATCCAAAGTATATCTCTTTCTTAATCAGGTGGGCTCCGCCTCTAAGTAATCCTATGTATCTCAGGATCAGGTGAATTCCGTCTCTAAGTAACCCTATGTATTTCGGGATCAGGTGAATTCCTCCGCTAAGTAAACCTATGTATCTCGGGATCCAATTAAAATTCTTCGGGCATGGGCGGACTCGAACCTCCAAATCGAACCTGAGCTTATCTCTAGTAGGTAGTCTATCCAGACGTGTGCAGGCCTGTCATGGATGCAAAAGAGGGTCCAACGTTATATTAATATATGCTATAGTACTCTCAGAGTTCGGACCACAGGTTGTCCGTGCAATTTTGGCTAGATAGTGTATTTCGTGCTACGATGTTAGTTGTTTACATGCCTACTTAAGTAATTCTGATTTTTCTAAACGTGATTTTGTAAGAAAAAAAGTATTGCATAGAAGGCATATTTTTGAAACACACTTTGTCGCTTTAACTTAATCTATAATAAAATATTTAAACAGAAAAGTTTCTTTAAAATTTTTTTTTGATTAACTGTCAAAATATGTACAGTAGATCACCGATTATACGGAACAGTGTGGAGGGACTTAAGCCGACGCGACCCTGATAATTGGACAGCTTTAAAAAATGGCTATTAGATTGCTTTTAAGTAATTTCCCGTCACACTTTTTCCAGGCTCACTAGGAAGGAACTATCATTTTCGTAGTTAAGTTACCCTTTTCCGTGTTATTGTTTCTTGTAATAAATTGAATACTCTGTAATCTTAACACTGACTCATCAAGTTTCTTTCGTTTACACTTAAAAAGAGAGAGAGTGTGGAATGAGTGGAAACATGTTGGGGTCAGGAAACTTCGGATAGATGGTTACTGTGGTCTACCATTATGATCGAATTGCCTGTTCTCAAATTTCTTATTTTTTTGTCTTTTCTAAAGCTTTCTAATGTATATCTTAGCGCCATTAACATTTCGAAGGGGAAAAGATTGCTAATAATAAATGTATTTTTGTACCAAGGACATTTATTTTTCAACTACATGTCTACTAATTATTCTTGATATATTAGTGTGAAGAAAAAATATTAAACATTTAAATTGAATTTTCAATTTTGCAACTACTTTTATCAACTAATGCAGGAATGGGCAAACTTTTTTGGTCGAGGGGCCAAAAATCAAGAAAAAAAAATGTTTGGTGGGCCAAGTAAAAACTTCAAAATTTAAGAAAAAAAGGTGACATACAAGTTTTAATTTAAATATTTAGTGAGATGAAGGAAATTGCGATTTCATTTTTAAAAGTTCCTTACATTAAGGTTGGAAGTGAGATGTGCTTATTTTAAGGAACAAGGCTAAATGCTTTGCTGTTATTCTACTTCTGAAATGATTTTTTCTAAGGTTCATAGTTGAAAAGTCTTGCTCACATATATAAGATTAAGCACACATGCACTGATTTTCTGAGCATGAAATACTAAATTTCGGAAACTAGCTTTTGGTAATGATTTGTAAAACTTTGGAATACTATTTAGAAACGACTGCTTCAGATGATTGTCCGCTTCAGATGATTGTCAGATGGATTGTCCGCTCTTTGGAGCGTAAAATGCGCAGTCTGCCAAATGTGAAGTGCAATTTAACTATATTAGATTCCATAAGTCAGCTCCTCGAGAGAGACAAGCGCTAGTTGGAGCCAATCTACGGCTATTCTATAAAGAACTTTTGCTTTCAACATTTTACAATTGAAGCTGTCTGAGCTAACTATTTCCATCAATTTATGTTTTGTAGAACAAAAATAGAGAACGCAAAAACTTCATCAGTACTTTGTTGAAAAAGGAAAAATAGAAATAATTTTAAACATAGTCGACAAGAAAATGGATGTATATTGTTTATATTTGCCACTGATCGGCAAATAAAAATTCTATCCGCTGGCCGGTTAAAATCTTCCAGAGGGCCACAGTTGGCCCGCGGACCGTAGTTTGCCCATCCCTGAACTAATGTCTAGCTCGCAGTTTTTCAATTGTATTTTGTTTACAAATATCAAATATTTCAAACTCCAATAGAAAATCATATTGAAAAAGTAAAGTTACAAAATTTTTGGTCATAATTTTAAGAAAATATGAGATTCCAAGTAAAAGCATTTTTGCAGTTGCATAATTGGATTTTCAAGCGTGGCATTTTTTCTTCTTCTGGATACTGCAAAAAAAAAGAAAAAAAAAGAAAAAGAAAAACATTGAAAAATATAGACCTGGAAATTTTAATTATCAGTTAATAGCCATTGGCTGGTTGACTCAAATAATTTAATAGCCACTTTTTCCTCAAAAGTAATGAATCATTGACTGATACAAATAAGTTCTTTTCATTTCATGACCTCTTTTTGCTTTGTGTTGCTTAGATTACATTTTATTATTTAAAAAAAAAAACTATTCTAGAAATAATCTACGGCTATAAAAAGTTACTTCAACAATAAAAATAATATAAGTATGTTACAAAATTTAGTTAAACATACTGATTTGATTTCATCGTGCAAGAAAATTTGTACAAATAAAAAAAAATTGAAATAAAGAGGGAGAGAAAAAAAAAAGAAACGATGGGAAAAAGTGACCGGCTGTTTATTTAATTTAAGTCGCCACTTTTTTTTTGTTGACTTGCCACGTAGCGAGTGGCAAGTGATTATTTTCAGGTATATCCGCGTGGTCATTAATTAAGTTTTACAGAAAGAAATTATTTATAACTAAAAAATAACAATTCCGCCAATTTTATGATGCATTTTTTTTAATCCTTATGAAAAACAGTTCGGCATTAATGAATTTTTAAAAAATTTCTTCTTCCTTTTTTCTCACTTTTTACTGCATAATGTAACTTTTAATTTATCCCTCTATATATTTTTGTTTCCTTCTGGCCGTTTCCTATAAGTGAGATTTATGTTTTAATAGTTTTTTTTTTCAATAAAGAAATAATTATTCTCAGAATTTAAATTTTTTTGCATTGAAAACAGAGAATAAAGGGTCAAAATTTTTTCTTTTGAATATCAGGAAAAAAAAAAAAAAATTCGGTGGACATTTTTAATAATAAAAGTGTATTTCCACGTATTTCAAGATATTTTATTTACATTTGTTATTTTCTACATTGTAGTAAAGGTATTGTCGCCACTTTTCAACTTGAAGGATTCTATCCTTAGTGGCGACTTGAATCCACGCAGCTTCAGATCGATGGGTATCAGCTTGTATGGGAAGTAAAGGCGGTCTGTGCGCAATGCTAATCATATTACTCAATCATGCCGCTAGACATGAAATAGTGGAGTTTTTACTTCCAAAAACCCTGACCCCCTTTGGCTGTTGTGGGAATGCCTTACTTATAATGTAAATTAAAAATTTATTTTTGTGAAAGTTAACCCTCAACTATTTTATTTTTTAATGTTCGTCTTTTAAAAGGAATATGTTAAGTAATTTTTCCCCTCACCAAATGTTATTATGTATCATGTGGTATATCCAGCAATTTGTATTCGCTCTGTTAATGTCCAGGTGTTTAGAATAGAATGATCGCTTTCACGCATTTCTGATTATGATACATATAAAAAAAATTCATTGGTGCGAATAATTTGCAGGAACTAGGGCAAGAATACTTACAATAAAAATGTTATGCGAATAGTTTCCAAAAGAGTTGTGCAGTTTGGGGAGTTAAAATAATAGTCCGCTGTCATTTGTTTCCTGCTGGCTGTCGTCAGTTTCCGGTAATCAATAGATCCCTCTTATTTTTTGCTTTCTTCGCATTTTTCTGGCTGCTGGAATAGTCGGTCTTTTATCAGCATTTAAACTGTACGTGATCCTGCGGGATATATTTGATTTCAAGCGATAGCCTAAAAGCTATAGAACTTTCTGCTGTACAAATTGTTTTGTTGAGTAGCGTCAACTGTCGTCTGCTATTTCTTATATTATTAGAGTTTAGTTGGTGATAATTTAAGTTCGTAAGTTAACTGTGGACCGTATATTTTTTTACTGCATATTTACTAAGATGTTTTTTCTTGCTATGAGAGATCTGTTTTTAATCTTCATTTGTTTTATTTATATTAATTTATGTATCTAAAAAAATATTTTATGATCCTAAAGTTTTTTCTAAATAAATCGTTTTTTAAAAATTTTTTTTTTTATAAATTGTAATTATATTTTTAAAAATATTTAACTTTATATTACATTAGTTAAAGCGATTTTTCTGTTATTTATTTGATTAGCTTAGAAAACAGTTTCAGTTCTAGAATGAGTCTGAAACGATACTTCTTTTGCTTGAAATATAAATGATAAATTTGGAAAAATATTATTTATAGAACTTTAACAACAATAATAAAAAAAAGTACATTAAATAAAAAGAGTTATTTCTTCTGAATAAAAAGATGTTTTTTTTTCTTCCCCCTTATATCTGATTTCATTTTTTTATTCTTTTTTATTTTGGAATTTTTTATTTATTTTGCCGATTCTCATTTAAAAAATGCATTTTAAATTCTTGGACGTCGTAGGAGAGCAATTTGCAAATTAAAATACTGAATCGCAATAGCTCTAAGAATTTTCCCTCATAAGAAAAAAAAAAATTATCGTGTCTGCTAAATATTTGGAGAATGATTGATTATTTTATATCTCTTTCGTGATTTTAACTTTCCTGAATTTAAATGGATGATGATTCATAAAAGTTTCCTTTATTAGCCCGAAATATTGAGCGAGACTTTCAGAGAGTTCTAATTATTGAAAGAGACATACATACACCTCCGTCCCCTGGCAAACAACGCCCATGTCTAAATTAGAAAGCTTGAACTATTGCTTAATTATTGCTTATTATTAAAATTGCTTAAGGTTTAAGCTGCACCACAGATTCTATATATTTTATCCTTGTTCTTTTAGATTATGTAAGTGCCATATAAAGTTAAAATTTTAAATTGTTGGAATATATATTTTATTGTTTTTTGTAGGTTGGAGTGAATAATTAACTCAAGATGAAAATATGACCTCTCTAGGTGTTTGGAAGGTGTCAAATCCCTTTCCTCTTACTTTACCTAAACCTGGATTTGAAAATAGAAGTTTTATTGATGTAGCTTCCACCTCCAAAGTGAGCATTTAGCACTAAATTTTATTTAATCTTTTTTTATGCATGTCGTCTTATTCTAGATAGGTATAGCCTTCAGAACTGACAGTTTTTTACTGATGAAGGAAGGCATAATCCACAATAGTTTAATAAAAATAACAAAATATATTTCTAAATATTGAATTCATAATTCTACATAAGCTGTTAGTAATTAGTGTGAAATAAATTACAGCAATGGCATTATAAGAAGTTTTTATTTTTATGGATTTTTTTGAATGCAAATTAAGAAGAAAGGGAAAATTTAGTGCAATTATTTTATATGGATTTTTTAATTGAAAAAATCGATCTGTAAAATTAATTTTTAGATTTTTTTTAGTCTATTATTCAGTAGTTTTTCTTTTTTTTTTGCAAGGAATTTGATTCATACCTTTGCCTACATTTTAGTGCATTAAAAAAGTTTAAAATATGTTATGATTTATTTTTAATAACATTTCAGTTATAATTATATTTATAAAATTTAACTATTTATAAACTGTAGTTCTTGAAGCATCTTTAAAAATGTGAATAAAATAAGAAAATATCATTTGAATAAAGCAAATTTTTTGGTAAAAAAAAAAAAATCAAAATTCTTGTAATTTTTAACTAAATGCTTAAATTGTATTTGTTTAGAAAACATTTAGGTTAAAGAAATTTTAATTTATAAAAAATTAAAATGTTGATAGATTAAATTACTTTTGACACCTCTAAATTTTAGTTATAATTTGAAATTAGTTGGAAAATCTTTTATTTAATTTCTTCCAACTTATGGTTTCAAGGCACAGTTGTCAGCATTTGGTGCCTATGGGTTGCGGGTAGTGCACCATTGCCATTGAAATATTTGGTAGTTCTTTCTTCACAAAGAAAAAGGCATAATATATTAATAAGAAAAAAACATTCACAATCTATTGGATAAATATTCTTTAGTGATAACCACCAAGATGTCAGAGTTACATTAACCTCAGCAAAATCTGTAAACTTAATATAATTTCATCAAACATATCAAGAAAAAAAAAACTTCAACATATACTTTAATTGAAGTGACCAAACCTGTCTATTATGTGGTTACATTCTAAATGTGTGTGTGTATATAACAATATAAAAAGCTAGTTGTATTTCGACCCGTTTGAAACAATTTTTGAACTGGTTAAAAAATAAAGTGGATTTTTGCCTGTCCTGAAAAACATATATATTTTCAGATTTGAAGCTTATTGTTAATGATTTTCTTTATTTGAAACTGATTTTGTGCATCAATGTTTTATCTGTTATTAGGATGCTCTGGCTATCTCTGAAAGTGGAGGCTCACTAAAAGTACAAACTGATGGTCCTCATCTTGTCAGTTTAGGTAGTGGAAGACTTAGTACAGCAGTAACTATTCATCCTTTACCTGAAGGTGAGTGAATACTCAATCCTAATCACTTTAAAAACTAACTAGTATGCTGAAATTAAAACTATTTCTTTTTGGAACAACGACTTCTGTTGATCTAAGTTAATTAAAGTGCTTGGTAGAAGAACATGCTAAGTTACGTCAATAAAACAGTTTTCAATGGACCACCAAATTAATGATGCCTCTATATATTCTAAAGCTAATTTTCTCGATTGAATTCAACATGCTGTGTTCGCCAATTATGTTATTGTTGAGGTTTTAATTAGAATATTCTCTAATTTGTTTTAAACATTTAGAGATTTCAAATCCCAGATAAACGAACTTGTCTCAAATTGACCCCTTACATGTTTTGCAAAGTCTGGATGTTGCTATAAAACTTTTATGTCTTTAAACATTACAAATATAAATTTAATGATGTAACCATGTTTTAATGAAAGTTTAGAAGTATTTAACTTTTGCTATTCTGATTGTTTGCTAAACATATTATTACTATTTTTGAAGCAAGAAATAAAAAGGTTTGCTAATTTATTTTTTTATAAAATAAAATTTTTTACATATTTCTAAATTTTTCTGTTGAAAAATAATTTTTTATTACTTTATATGGACTACTTACATCTTTTATTTTTAAATAAATAGTTTAATTACAGGATGGTTTTAAAATTTTTTAGCTAAAAACTTTTTTATTCTTTTTACACTATGAGCATTAGTATAGGTTCTTTCTAAACATTCAGCTGGTGATTTTCTGCTTCAATATACTACCCATGTTATTTAATCTGAAAGTGAATTTAAATTTAAATTTAGCATAAAATTTTCGTACATTTTTACCCAACTTTTCAACAATTAAAGGAAAAAAAAATTAGAAAATGCAAAAGAGTTGAATTTTTTGATACTCAAATTGGAGCTTCTGCATTTTTGAATTTCAATGCTTTATTATCTATATTTTCATGACAAGTATATTGATCTTAGTTTTGAAGAACAATTATGCATTTTCCTATGCAAGTTGTGTAGTTTCATCACATTATTTTTTCGCCAATATCAAAGGTTAACCATTAACCATTCTAGGCTCTATGTGTTCATCATTAATTAAATGTCAAACCCTTTAAGAGAAGCAACTTGTTAGATTTGCAGTTGTAATATGAATTAAGGTAAAACAGAGTATCAGCGAAGAGTACATCTTCTGCTTTGTGAATCATTTATATTGTCCCTCTGTGAGGAAGTTAAACCCATTGTTTGTTATACCATACTGTGAAGGCAATAAAATCATTTTCACAATTTGGTTTAACAATTTAAGTTTATGGGTTATCTTTTTAATTAATAAAAAGTTACGTGCACTATTAAAGGAAAATTAATCTAATTTTAAATGTTTGAATGCTACTTCATGTATTTGCATTGTACTGAAATAAAACTAATGATTATAGGGCGTGTTTATGTTGGCTGTCCTGATGTACATCCTCCGAAAGATGTTGTCATCAATGGTTTTGGTATAGAAAAAGACCATTGTTTTATTGACAACAACAATGGGCTTGTGACAATATATCCTCAAGATGGAGAAGTTTCTATTGATGGTGTCGTTGTTAACAAACCCACTTGTCTTTCTCAAGGTAAATAATCAAGAAAGCTCATTTTGCAGAAATTTTTTTTTTTAATAAAAAGTTTGCAGTATAAGACTTTTAAAACCCTTAATATGTGATTATTTTTTTGTAACTAGGAATTTTTTCTTACAGATTTCTGGTTCTTAAAATGTACATTTTTTATCTTTCAATTATGTTTTTGCTTATTGTGTTCTGTGAAAAAATTGTTGCATGCTATTTAATGTCTGTGAGATGAAGATTAAAAATTCTTCAGAAGTTCTTTTTTTTCTCTTCATTTGAGTACAATACTTGTTTTTAAACTTTAAAACCAATTTAAATAATATGTGTGATGGTTTTTATATCCACATTAAACAAAATATTTTATTTTTTTCCTCTCTAAGTCAGTCAGTACTTACAAACACATAAATATTTTCATTTAAATGTCATTACCAATTGATTAAAAAAACTTTTGTGAAATATATTTAATTATACTTATGATGCTTTAGTTTCTAAATCTGTTACTTATTTCTAATTATTTTATTGTTATTACATTGTGAAAGTGGGAAAAATTCTAAATATTAAACTAGTTGACTTCATAAGGATAATATTTCCCTTACGTAATATTCAAAGAACATGTTTTGAATTTTAATTATTTAATCAATGTCCCCCAATAATTAAGCATTCCATTCTTTTGGTTTAAATATTTTTTTTTTCTTTCTGCATGTCATAATTAAAAAAAAAAAAATGCAATTTTAGATCTTGTGCAGATTTTATAAAAATGTATACTTAACTAGAAATTTTACCATAAGAAAATTTTTTCTAAACTTAACATTATACTCATAATTTGTTTTCAAAGTATTGATAAAGCTAAGATAATCTCAATTTCTTAAAATTGCATATGCATTTTTAGTGAAGGGAGGTCATTATTTTTATTAATATTATATTTTTATATATTTATTATTTTCTTTTAGTTAAAAATATTTTAAAATCTGAAACCTTGAGCAAAGTATTACTTTTATACAGTATTTTTTTAGCAGCTCACATTTAAAGTGTTATAAAGAAAGAAAATAAAATCAGAATAATAACTGTCTGTATCAGAATAATAACACTTTGAATTCTGCTGCTAACCTATAATCATATTCTACTCATTTTTCTTCATTTTAATAATGTATTTCTTTCTCCCTCCTTTTTTTTAAAAAAAAAGGAAAGAAAGGAAGAAAAAAAACTGAGATCAAATGAAATTTTGTGCTATTCTTAATTTACATTTAAAATAAAAATCTACCTTTAAATTGTTAGAACAGTTAATGAAATAAATAATTATTAGTACAATTGAACAAATAAAAAAATATATGCAAGAGTAATAATTTAAAACATCTTTATGACAAACGAAGTTAGTGCATGAGTGCAAAATGTGGATTAAAAAAGTTTCTTTTAATCATTTATTTGTGGTTTCAAATTAGCTTTTTGGTATAATTTCATTCTATTTTAAGTATTACAATAATGTTTGTTTTATAGGATGTATGCTTTGTCTAGGACGTTCAAATTTTTTTCGTTTTAATAATCCCAAGGAAGCTCATTTAATGAAGCAGGCTTCGCCAACGCCAAGAAAACTACAAGTTTCATCTGGATTTGTTCCTGGTAAATGCTATTGCATGTTGCTGTAAAATTAACTTTAATTATGTGAATAATAATATTTTAAATCATTGTAGAATTAATTTTTATTGTGCTAGTAATAATATGTAATTCTTGTTTATTTGTCATTTTTTAAGATTGCAAATATAATTTTTATGCTTAAACATTTTAATTTAAATTTAACTAAACTATTTTTGTTAGTAAAATCAAGGCTTCAATAATGTAATGTTTTGCTATATGTTTATATTATTTAATATTTCAGAATTTTTAAAAATATATTTAAGTAAACAATGTGTAAAAAAGACAAGTAATGTTATAAATTATTATATGTGATATTTAACTTGGTACATCTTCTTTCAAACTATGCATGAATTATTTAACTTTTCCTTTTTTCATTGGATTTTTTTGTAGATTTTTGTGATAAGTCTTACACATACATGTAACCGTTAATTTACTTTGCATAGCATGAATACTCATAATTTGCAATTTGTATTATTTCTAATAACCATTAAATTTTGAAAATATGATAAATTATTGTATGTTTATCAAATTTACTAGTTTATGTTTATATTCGCAGTAATTTATTAGTGAATTTGATAAAAATCTGTCAAGTGTTAATATCCTCCAGGTATTGTACTGATAGCACAAAGTTTTCCCAAAGTGTTTTTTGAAAGGGCAGCTCGCCTTTCTGTCCTGTGATGCGCATTTAAGGGGTTCAAGTGTGTGTATTAGTTTTAAAAATAGATGATCTGATTAAGATTTTGCAATGCAAATTTAAATTGTGCATGGATAAGAGTGTGTAAATGTAATTTTAAAGTCTACAAAAGTTTTTTCATTAAAAAATTTTGTGCACTAAATTGTGCACTATGCTTAATGTGAATACTTTCTCTCGAAATGTGCAATCAGTGAAAGAGGTTAAGCCATAAATTTTCGTTTAAAATATGAAGAACAAATAATTTTCTTTTCATTTACAAAATCAGTGAACCACATTGATGAACCACATCAATGCATCAATGAATGTCATCAATGAACATCAATGAATGTTTTCAATGAACACAATTATCAAGTAATTTTTTTCAATGAAGTTTCCAAACTTAAATCTTTAAAAACAGTTCTTACTTTAATCTTACTTTAATCTGTATATTGATGCTTTTTAGTCTTTAAAAACAGCTCTACATTAAAAAAAAAGTCAATTAGATGTATAATTTTTAAGTTAATCTATGAGTTAAAAATTTTTGGATATGACTAAAACCCTAGGGCTGTTGTTGTGTGCTGGTTTGTGAACATTTATTTTTCTGTTTAATTTTCTGTATATTCTTTATTATTTTTAGAGTTTCAGTTTTGCTGACTTTTCTCATTGTTAAAGTCTTGTGTTTAAAGATTAAATCATTTTTGACAGGTTTCTCTTAGTGTGACAATGAATCTCTTTCAAAAATGGATTTGTTGGAAGTTTTCCAATTTTTTTTAAACTTTTAATAAATTACTAATTATTGGTGAACTTTATGAACACACAAGTTTAAGTTGTTGGATCATTTTTATGGGATCCTTTTTTACAAAGACATTAATTGAATTAGATGTTAAAAATTTTGTTTTATATTTTTCTCTTAGTTTAATTCTTTACTTTGTATCAAGTAAAGTGTATTATAGAGAGAGATTTCTGCTTCATAAGAAAAGGAAAAATCATGGACAATTTTTTAGAAAGTTTAGTTATTTTTTTCCCCAAAATTTTGGGCCCATCATTCTAATAATATTTATGCAAATTAGAATTTTTCATTCCATATTTTCAAATAATTCGAAGTTTTAGTGCTGTAAATTTCTTCTAAAAAATTATCTAGAAGTATTTTTAATCTGGAATTTTTAAAAAAAATTTGAAATGAGCAAATATGTTAATTTTTATTTAAGAATTGAATAGAGTTTACTCTATATGAAGCAGCAAAAGTTAATATCATGTATCTGTGTTTGAATTTATGTCTTTCACAATTACTTTAAATCTTTTCCTACATTAATTCTATTATTTTTCAGTGGAATCAGTTTCTAATCAGTTACCTTCATTCAACGGAAACCGTTCCCTTGTTGACCAGTACATTGATAGTATAGATTACGTTGAAAAAGTATCAAAGTTTGAATATATGTCACACAGTCAACCACCTGCCATAACATCACAAGACACTCCAAAGTACTTTGTTAAAGAGGGAATTCGAATCCTCCACTCTGCACCTCCTGTAATGCGGATGCATAAAAACTTCTCTTCTGAAAACAGCATCAAAAATCCTAGTCCCGTATCTAGAATCTACAGTCCTCTGTTAACAAAGCCTGGTTTTTCTACTCCTCCTCCATATCCGCCTCGTTCAACTCCTAAAGTGACTATGTCTCCTAAAACCAAGAGATTATATTCCAAAACTCCTGATCCTGTCATGATGGGTCGGGATTCTCCAGCTACTGTCTGGTCTGGGCGTTGTACTCCTACATCTCCTGGATGTAGGAGCCATCATGTTAGTGTGGAAAACTTAAAGGCATGTGAAATTGAGCTGCAAGAACAACATCGTAAGGTAATAATTTTAATTTAAAATTTTCCACTTTTTGTTAGTTTTCAGTCATATGCAGTGGTTGGAAAAACTACATTATTTTTGTAGTTTATTTCAACTACAGTTACTTTGTTACAAATGTAGTTAACTATAACTACTTTTTTTTAAAAAATGTAGTGACTATTTGCTTACTTTTGAAATGTAGTAAGTACTCCATTACTTTTGGAAGACAATCTTTGTTGAAGAAATTAATTAGCACATATTATTCGAAAAAGAGTAACTGAAATAAAATTAAAATTTTTTACTATTCAAAATAATGAAATTATGAATTTTTGAACGTAACATAATAAAAAATTAAATCTATTTAAGAATTTAAATAACGAAACATACCATAAATAAAACTAATTTCAATTTATTGAAATTTGTGGCTGTTTGTGCCATAATGTTTTAGAATTTCATTTTTATTTATTTAATATAGAAAAATCCTAAAATTTTCTATACATGTAACATAGAAAGATTGCACAATATTATGTATACAATTTCTATTATTCTAAAATAAACTTTTTTTTTTTTAACTTTCTTATTGGCAGTTATGCAAAAATATTTTATCTTCAAATATTTGCCAAAAATTGATGAAAAAGGGCGTAAATTCAGGCATTAAAAGTATTAAAATTGATAGTTATATGCATTCTGACATCCCTGTGAGTGAAGATAAATTTCACTAACCAATTTGAATCTTGGATTCTTGCAATTTTGAATATATATAATTTATTTTATGAGACTAAAGTATTTTTCTATTGTTATTTTTATGCAATAATTATTTTCAGTGTTCTGTTATAATTACTTTTGTGAAAGTTTTAATTTCAAAATCCTCATGTTACAAATTTCAACAAATTTGTTAAAAATCGTTATAAAAATTTGATTTTCACTAAAATTTTTTGTTTTTACAGCATTTAAAAATTCAATTTTTGTTAATGAAGAAAAAAATTAATGCCATACAACTACAATTTTTTAAAAATTTACTTTTCTTTTTTTTCTTCATAAATGTTTGTGTTTGCTGAGTGCAATATTTTTTAATATCATGACTCTCAATTAACTCTTTTGAGGTTTAAATTTTTTTCCTCTTTGTATTTTCTATTTTGACAATTTTAAGAAACCTTTATTTTTTAGTTTTTTTTTGCCCTCCTTACTTTGTTTTATTGTTTTGAACGAAATACAAAATTGATTAATATATTATTACATTTTTTCGTATTTAAACCCCCTATTTCTTTTTTATTATTTATTTATTTATTTTTTTGCTCAATGCTTAGGATATATTTTTCAAAATCCATATAAAATAAATGAAACTATGCTTGAATTTTTTCTGAGAATTGTTTATTTTTTTAGGCTGTTCAAGAGAGGCTTAGAGATCAAGAACAGGAAAAGCAAGAAAGGTTGCGCTTAGAAGAAATTTTGAATCTGTGTGCTGAGTACGAAGAACAGTCACAGCGAGAAAGAAACTCTAAACTAAAAGGTCACATTGACAATAAAGAGGCAGCTTCTTCATCTTCATCAGGAGAATTTAGCTCAGTGTCAACTGATTCATCAGTTCCTGCTTCTACCAATTCTTCTAACAATTCCCATGCTCCCAGTTCTAAGTCAGACTCTAATGTTGAAGGTTATTCTTCAGAAGATTCTAGATACAATGGTGCTCCAAAATATCCTACCCTTCCTTCTCCAAGGATCCAGAACCAATCTACACCTATTAGCCTAAACCTAAAAAATGTTCCCATTTATGCTCCATCAAGTGGCTATCACACTGTACCAAACAGAATTAAGACCAATGGATCATTGCCACGTGATCGTGGTAAAAATCAAATTTCTCCTACCAGTGATTCTTCGACATATGTTGCCAATAGCTCTTTAGACTGTGTTAATGGTAGTAATGGTGCCACTTTGTTTGTCAATCATAAAGCTTTGAATTCTGCCTCATCGGAAGATGAGCTATGTGCTATATTGGGGAACAGTTCTATGACTAAGCAAAGTCCTAGTAATGAGCATGGTCCTAGCAGCCCATGCATGGGTACTACCTTTCTTACATATCCACATTCACCAAGAAATCGTATTAAAACTGTTGCAGGCCACCATGAAAAGCCACCCGAAGTTTACGAGAATAAGCATGCAGTTAACAGTCTTGCTGCTAGGAAAGATTTGACTTTGACTCTTCCTTCTACGGAACCTCTTCCTCAGAATCTTATTCATTCAGGAACTTATACTAATGCCAATTTTCAGTCTCAGAGTCATGTGAGTATTTTATTTATTAGCAGTTTATTTATTAGTTTATTCATTTTTGATTTATTTGTTTTTATTGTAAGATTTCGGTGTGAATTAAAGGTGGCAAATAAAATTCCAACGTAAATAAATAAATTAAAAACGAAACTAATCATCAACGTTTTATAAAAATACGAAGACATAAATTTACGTACCTACATCATGAAGTCAAATTAGAAGAATGTAAATTTTATGCGACTCATCCATTAACTATTTGTTGTTAGTAATTAAACTGCTCATTTGCGAATTGTTAAATTTTTTTTTCTTTTTGCATTATGAAGTAAAATATTTTTTAATGGAATTCTTTTTAAAATATGATTTGTCCTGATTATTTCCTTTATTATAAGTTATAAAATACAAATTTTAGTATAATAATGTAATGTTCTGTTTGTCATAACATATTTACATCAAATTTTGATACTTTTAACTATTTTAATTTTTATCTTATTGCATTTAAAAAATATAAGAACTTTAATTAATCACCTCTCTTAAAGTAGGTTATTTGTCAAAAAATTGATTATTGGCAAGATTTCAATGTATGTACATGTTTAAGAAAAATTGTCAACAAATATGATCAATCTGCTTATTCTTCATATGTGATATTAATAAAATTTTCTGATATATTTGTAATTTAAAATTTTTAAATGAAATTTTAAAATGTTTCCTGTCTTAGAATTTTTTTTTAAAATTATAGTAATGTTAATATTTGCTTTATAATTAAAATCTGATATTCTTTTTCTTTGCAGATGGGTATAGACATAGACGAAGAAATCAATAAGCTTCACAAAGAGAAACAAGGTTGCTTGCAAAATGTTAATGGCATCAAACATAAAGTCTCCGATTTGAAAGAATGCAAGAATGAAGTACTTAATGGGGTAATACACACCTTAACACTTTTATTTAATTCAAGAAATATTTTAAATTTTACTGCATATTTTTTTAAAATTATTGATTGATTTGGAAAGCGGAATGAAAATTTTTAATATGAAGTTATAGTTATTAAAAAAATAATAATAAAATAAAGTGTTGAACAGGATATTAGAGAGCGATAGATATGTTTCTAAATTGCTTAATTAGATTGTATTTAAATTATTGCCTGCATTAAGGAAAAAAAGTCTTATTAATAATGTTTACTAATCAGAAATATCTACCGATAGAGCCTAGTGCATGATTTAAGTGGGAAAAGGTGTTAAATTGTGTTCATCAAACATTTTGTGCTGAATCATTTTCCTTGCTAAAAATTAGTTTAAATAGACCATTGACTCAGATTGTAAGTTAATTGTGTAATTTGATGAAAGGTATAGTAGCTTTAGAAATTTTATTTGGTTTTTCATTTAGCAAGAGAAAGAAATTTCATTGAATTTTATATTGATGAATTTTAACTGAGGATGTACTTTTTACTTAATAAAATTTTTGTTGACAGTTATGCTGTTAATAATGCGGAGTAGTTCTTGAGATTGAAAACTATACTTTGATGCATACCTATTTTATATTAGAATTTAAATATATACTGGATAATTTATAGTACTTAAATAAATTTTAAATGCCTTAATTTTTAATTTTTTTAATGTTAATTCATGTACTAAAGCATATTAGAGACTTTCATTTTATTCCTCAAATGTTTTCATTTCATTTGTAAGGCAATTTTATTCCTGCATGCAAGTCAAAATCAAATTTTTGATTTTTTTTTTCTTTTTTTTTTTAAATTTAGTGTAATATTATGAAACACAGAATGTGTTTTAAATTTTTTTTTAGAAAGGGAAAAATCTTTTATGTCTTAAATATCGTTCCATTATTATATTTATTTTTATTTTCATTATTTTGAAATTGTTATTTCATAATAATATATAAGAACTATGATTTTTTTTAAAAAATATATTAAAAATATATTTCTCAAATTCATTATTTTATTATTGTTATGTTATTATCTATAGGTACATTTTAATGTTTTCGTTCAGTTAATATTAAGCATTGTTATAAACTTGTTTAGTTAATATCAAGATAATCTAGTTTATATACTTAAATGTAATTTGATTTCTATGTAAAATTAATTTTTTGTTTCTAAGAATCTTCTTATTGATAAAATATTTCAACCATGTCTAAATTAAAATTTTAAATTTTATTATAACATTTCAGCTTCAGTTAGAGTTTGATTTACTTGCTGGGGAGTTAAAAGATAAAGAGATAATGCAAATATCAGAAGGAACTAAGCTTGCTGACTTTCAAAATCAAAAGTTAATAATGGAAAAGAAATGTGAAATTGCACAACAAGAAGTAAGATCTTTTTGTTTGATTTTTATTATAGGTTTGTTTTTAGGCATATGAATAATAAAATAAAATGAAAGTTTTAAAAACCACACTATTAAAAAAAGAAAGAGGAGCAAATTCTTTTTGACAGACAGAAAAACATAGAACAGTTTTGAAGATGAGAAAATTTTGATGTTTAAAGAAGTTAATTATAAAAGTGCTACATTCCACCTTTTTTTCCTCAAAGCTGACTTAAAATTTTTTTCAAAAATTTATAAATTGTATCTATTAAATTTTTCATTTTATATAATTTTTTCGTTTCAGTTTTATGACAATTAATTTATGGACAAAAGTGGAAAGTGCTCTAAACTTTGTTTCTAGATAAGTCTTGCTTGTAGCACTCATTAAACAATTATAATTTATATTGACCTTTGGCACAGATCTCAAGTTCAAATTTGAGCTAACTTGTCTGAAAGTGGCAAAAAATTTCATTTGACTCTAAATTTCTATTTGTTATAATATAATGGATAAGTTCTGCATATAGTAATAGTCAGAAAACGATTGAAACTTGTATTGTCACCAGACACAGAGCTCCAGTGAAGATTTGAGCACTCAAGTTACTCAAAAAGTAATCAGAGTTTTGAGTACAAGATAAGATTTCACCTTCACAAAAACAAAAAATTTGTATAGTATATACAAGATTGTATATAAAGTAACATAAGACAAAGTAATAAGGAAGTCAGATTATACTTTTTATATGGTGTCTATTTTCCTAAAGTGTTGATATTATGCATACTGTTGAATTTTTTAAAGACACCAATGTTTAACCCAAATTTTCGCTTGTAAGAATGAAAACAGATTCCTTTTCATGATATCTTGAGAATGATAATTTTATTTCTTAATTTGAACACAAAAACAAACTTCTTCCATTTAAGTTGAAATAAATATTGCACCTAAGGAAAACAAATTCCCTATAGTGATCTTTGCAATGACCGTCCTCCGTGTAAAAAGTTTATTGCTTTTCTGAAACTGAACAAGAGAGGGTAGTACGTTTGTTCTTGATGCTGAAGTAGGGGTAGCCTATGGTTCATATCTATCTGCAATTAGTAATATCACCAACTGAGAATATGAGAGGGCATAAACCATTGATTGTGCAGTGAGTGGTGCTGTCCTAGAGAGTAACCGAGGGGTAGAAGAAGAGAATAACATTCTTTCCTTGCTGATAGTGAAATATTTTTGCAGTTATCATTCTTTTATAAGTGCTTCATTTGATTGCTAACTTGTTTTGGTTCTAGATGAGTATTATAATAATATTATAACTATAATCATTGTTGAACAGCCAACCCAATTTTATGGGTTTACGACTTCTAATGCTCAACTCCATATCCTTGTAATTTTGAACCCAATCCAGAAGACAAGGGAACTCCTGGATCGAGTATTGGGAGAAATTTGCCTACGTGGAGGACTTTTTGATGGAGCTAACCCGCATTTGTGTTACATGGAGAGGAAGACCTCGAGAACCTCCCACAGTTAGTCTGACGGCAAGGGGACTATAACCCATGATCCGTCTACCACTGAGGATATTACGCATCAGCACTTTGGTCGGTGCAAGCCGCATGCAGAATTCGTATCAATTGGGATTCGAACCCGGTTCGCCTCTTTGGAAGGCGAACACTCTATCCCCTGAGCCATCGCAGCTCTGTGAAGATGAGTAGTGAAAAGTCTATTAGTTTTAAAATCAAAAAGATTTTATATGATGTTAGTGATGGAATTTGTTTTTAAAAAAAATTATAATTTCAGCAAAGTAAAGATGGTTTAAAAGACTTGTATAATCAATCAATTCAAGTAAAATCAATTTTGAACGAATGTTAAAGAGGTAGATCAGTATGCTTACTACATCAGTCGTGTATCTCTGTGAGTATGGGATTGTGTGTTTGTAAGGTGATTTACATCTTTGTATAAAAATACTGATTAACTGAAATGACCATAAATTTTTTTTCTATACAGATATCATTTCAGCTATGTGATGTCTTTGCTTTGTTGGTTTATGCTTATATTGGTTAATATATAAGGTCAAGAAGGCTCAAGCTAAAAACAGACTATTAGCTAACCTAATATTTATGAATTTCTATCTCTCATCAGCTGCCATAACCACATCACATTTATTTTGTTATGTGATGTTCTTAGACACTAGTTATAATGAATAAAAAATTATGACAATATTTTATTAACTTCTCTGTTATGTGTTGTTACTAAATACTAGAGTGCATTTTTTGAAATTAACGCGGTTATAGTTATGTTATTTTAAATGGTGACATGGAAAATTAGTTTGACACGCTCAAATTTTTACCTTAATCTTATTTTAATATTATTAATTTTTGTCACCATTCCAAGACAAATATTATTTAAATTCTTTATGTTCATTTTGTCAATACATCTGATGTTTTTTCTTTCTATTTTGCAGTTGGAGTCTGCTAAATCAAAAGTGAGACAACAAGAAAAACTGGTTGAAGATTTACAGAATGAACTGTTGTGTATTCAGCACAAGTCCTTGCATGAGTCAGAAATAAGTTCAAAATTAAATGAATTGAAAGCTCAGTCAGAGCTATTAGATATTGAAAGAAAAGCATTTGAAGACTTGGAATTTCAGCAACTTGAATCCCAAGCTCATGAAGAAGATGAACGAGAACTATTGAACCAAGAACTTGAGTGTTGTAAAGAAACTATTGCTCAAAGACAAGTATGCAATTTACTAAAACATGTTTCTTTGATGTACTTTTCTTTTGATTTATAGGCTTTTTGAAAATATATGCATTTTTTTTATATTCTATAAGGTTAAACTATTCATTGTTTTATGACAGCTAATTTATTAATTTTATTGATTGATATCTAAACAATGAGTGATATTTAACACAAGGATTACTCCGAAACGTAGTTCTTCTCTTTATTTAGCATATAAGTTCTGTGCATGATAGTTTTTTTTGAATTACATTATTTTCATATTGCCTTTCAAACTTGCTTCTAAAAATCTATTTTGTGCTAATTGAATAAACAAAAAAGGTTTCTCCAGAGATAAATTAAAGAAGTGAATGTGGCAAGCTTTTTAAAACTCTAATAAAGCTGTAGTTTCTTTTGTCAGAAGTTTATCAAAATGTGTTGGTAGGAATAAATACTGTGAAAAAATTAGTAATCAGTAAAATAAATTATTATTTTGTCAAGAAAGTTTTCTTTTACACAATTTAACTTTGAAATACACTTGAATTGAAGGCTGGGACACTTTGTGCAAGTGTTGCTTTTTAATTTATACTTTTTCAAAATCATATTTCAGTTTTAGCAGTAATTTATTTGAACGATTTTTTTATTAACAAATAAAGTTACTTTTATAGTTTAATCTTTTTCCTTAAAAAATATATATTGCATATTGGCAAGGTCTTACAAGTTGTTTCTCCATTTTTTCCCCAACTTTCTTGGCCTGATATTTAAAATGCATTTTTGACATTATGATTATTATATTTTAGATTGAGCTTAGTGAAATATCAAAACAAATGCAAGCTATATCATCTCAAATAGAAGAGGAAAAATTAAAATGTGAGAATCAATTGAAAATATTTACTGATGAGCTTCGACAGGTAAGCAAAAAACTAAGTTATGTTAGATTAAGCTTTTATTGTGTTTAATTTTTGTAGAAGAGGTGTAAACGAGAGGTATTGACAACTGATTAAAGAATCAATCTTGAAATAAGTTATGTCTGCCTGAATGTGAAATAAAGGACACTTCTCAAAAATCAGTTGTAATTAATGTGATAATTTTAAAACTGGTTTTTCATTGTATCTGTAGTTTTATGTGGGACTCTACACATTTCTGTAGAAACCTTATTTTCACTGGATACAACAGCCCTTAAAAATTTTATTACTTAGAGCGTACGGCATATCGAGTTGACGAAAGAACTGATTTAGAGGACGGATCAAAAGCCGTTTGTAGACGAATCTCACATAAGCACAAATAGCTTATATATGTTATTAATGTTAATAATAACATTAATAACATATATAAGCCTGTATATAATTTTTATTTCATAATTTCTTTCCTTATTTAAACTTAAGTGTATTATTATTTATCATGTTTTATTATTTCTAAAACTATTTCAAAATAATTTTTTAGTTTCGTTTTGTAAACATTAAAAAAACAGCATTTTGTAGCGATTCAGAAAACCGGAAAAATCAGTTATCCGGAATCGCGATGGTCCCGATCGTTCCGGATAATCGGTTCTCTACTGTATAAGTCATTGTTATTCTGAAATATATTTAGCTTTTAATTTTTTTCACTTTCTATGGTTAGTACTAAATTAATCATGAAATTGGTACTGATACTAATCGAATAATTTAGATAGCTTCGATCATAAAATTTTAAAAATATGCCTGCAGATACAACAGCAAAACTTTTCAGTTTGTTGTATGGGTTGGAAATCCTTTTTTTCAATGAGGAAAACTAGTTTGCTCAAACTTTTCTCGCATTTAATTAAACAACTTACACAATTTTTTGACTTGATAATAAGCATAAAAAGTGCTTTTTTTGGCAGAAAAGAAAAGGTAAAAAAAACTTAATGAGTTTATAAATCACATAGAACTTTTATTTTTTGAAATCACTCTATTTACAGATTTCACTTTCTCAGAAATGAATTGAAAACAAAGCTGGTGCTTCATTTATTAAACCTTTAATCATGATAGTACTAATTAATACTGATTACTTTTATTATATTTATAATTATAATGTAATAATAAAGATAATTAGATAATAATGATTACTCTTATTATATTTTTAATTAAAAAAACATTAAAATTTTATTTCAGATAGATTAAGATATTTTTTAAAAGAAATTTCTTGGTTAATGTAAATTATAAATAGTTTTTATAATCCTACAATTATAAAAATGATGTAGTTTAATTTTCACTATTTTAGTTATATTAAATGAACACATTGAAATAAATAATAAATTCTGCTTTTTTTCCGAATATTGTTACATAATTTGAGTACAAATAAATTGAGTCATTTCCAAAATTTGTGAGTGGGATTCTTAAAAGTTGCCTATTAATAAATTAAAGTTTATTCTTTATTAAGGTTGCAATTACAATTACACCCTGTATGAATTAACCTGAAACTCTAGTTTATGCTGTCATTCTTCTATTTTCACACAGAAGGTTTAATTATTGTTTTACTTTCAATAATTTTTTGAATTAAACGTTAACATTATTTATTATTAGTTTCTTTTCTTTACATATTTTATAATTATTTTTTACAAATTTTCTGTGTCCTTTTAGGAGGTGATGAATTTGGAGCTTATAAATAGCAAATTGAAAGCTTTAGCTGATATGAAGCCTAGTGCTACTCCTTTTTCTAGTCCAGGTAGTAGTCCCCGAACTTCAGACTCAGAAATTGAGGTAATTTTGATCATAATATGTGTTATTTTTATCAAAAAAATTGTTTTATATTCTTCTATCATAATGTAATTGTAACTAGGGATCGATTTTTGTTCCATTTTTGTTTGAAAAATACATTTGTGTTTAGTTTCAATTCAGTTTGATTAATAAGTGAAATGTATTCTTTAAAAAAATTTCCTTTTTAATTTATTGTATTATAATGTTTACTTTTTGCAACATATGTTTAAACTCTTTTTTGTTTTCTGATTAAGTTTCTTATATTTATGCATTGTTTTTGGGCTGTAAAAATTATTTCATCTTTTCTTTTCTCAACTTAAGCTGTATACTGTTAGGAACTCAAGTTTTACCATTTTCATTATTTTTTATTGTAGCTCATTCATTAAATATATACAGTCAAACGTCAGTCCATGATTCTTCCATCTTTTGTTTATTGAATGCATCATTTTGTGTTATCGCTCCCTCCACAAATCCTTATAACGTTAATACTTCTGATTAGATCGTTTTTTAAACTAGAAAATTTCCGCATCTATCGATCAAAAATTTGACTGATAGTTGAAAAAAAAATGGTTATTTTATTTGAAAAACATCATACATTCCAGTGTGTATAGTCTTGTTTAACTGGTACCATCACAAATATTAATCTAAGAGTGTTAATAATGCCCGCTTAGATCATTTTTGAAACTTGAAGATTCCGGCATCTATCATTCAGAAATTTGATTGACATTGAAAATATTGAAGTTAGTTCATTTTGAGAAGAAAGAAGGAAAGTTTTGGTGATTAATAATGAAGAAAATGAGGATTTGTTACTATCTAGAAAAAATGCTTCTAACATTATGTTAGATGTTTATGCATCAGTTAATGAAAATGTAGTATTGTGATGTTGGTTAAAAAAATTGCCACAGAAAGTGCAAAATAATGAAAATGAATTTAGTTGAGCAGAACCACAACTAGTGACTTTAAAAAAAAGTCTAAAGTTTTTTAAACAATGAGAAACTTAAACTGTATTCTCACTAATTTGAAGAAAATCAACAGCAATCTGTTACAAACGTCAGATATGTTTTGTTTGCGTTGTTAAGAAACGGGTGTGTTTGAAGTAATATTCCTAAGAAAATAAATGTTTCTTCATCTTCTTTTGACATGAATGGCAAGCATCTGTGAAACTGTTCTGCTCTCCAAGGGGTGCACACTTTTTCATATACCATGACCCTCTCCACCCCTCTTTTTTGTATTAGATTGCAAGATTTATTGTGTTTGGTAAAGCAAAAATATGGACATAATAATTTTTTTTTTGCGTTAATATTTTTATAATACATAATATTTTTAATTATTAATTTTTTTAAATATTTTTATTATACATACATAAATTTTCAATTAATTACACCTAAGCAGTTTTGATATAAAATTTGTCTCATACTGAATTTCATTTGATATACCATTTATAAGTTTTTCATTTAGTGTTGGTTCTGACAATTTCTCTAAGATTCAAAATAGCTTGGAACATGTATAACACAAAAATGTTTGTTAAAAATGAATTAAAGTTGACATAAGAAGAAAGGCTTATCAGATCTGTAATTCGTGAAAGAAAGTAATAAGTATAAATAAGACTTTTATGTTCTAATATATATATACAGTGGAACCTGTCTAAATTGACCACCCTCGGGACCAAGTCAAATGGTCACTATATAGAGGTGGTTACTTTACGANTTGAAGTCCTCATTCCTTCATCTATATGAAAAAGGGGTGGTGGGAAATAATAAGTAAAAAAATAACAAACAGCAGTTTATTAAAAAAAAAAAAATATTAATTAAGAAACCGGAAAAAAAGCTATAATCTTTTCTTCAGCCCACACGATTATATCCGCAAAACATAGTGCTTATTTAATTTAGTGCTAATGAGTGCTGTTTACTTGCACCTTAAGCGCAATAAATGAAACTTATTGTTTTTCTTAACTTTCTTAGTGTTTTCTTGTATTTATTTATTTATTATATATATATATTACTAGAGAAAATCAGAAATTTAATTTTTATATTTCAAGAGTTCTTATTTAATTTAGAGGTTATACATTAAATGCTTATACATTTTCCCCCAAATACTTTTTGAATTAAATATTTAAAATAATTAAAGAGCTAACTAACATTGCTTGTTACGATTATCAATTGGCTATAATTTTTACTTCGTTATGAATTAATGCCCTTATATTTTTCATTATTTGCTATTAATCTCTGAAATTTAATATCTATTCCTCTTAATTAAAATTAGTTTGTATTTTTTTTATCATGTAAATTTTTATTGCGTTGAAAACTTTTAAATTCCCATTTTAATAATTCTGAGACTGTTTATTGTTTATACTATTATACGGTGATATATTGAAATTATCTTTTTAAAATAGAAAATGCCCCCTATGAGTCTATATAATTTTTATTATCATAAATTTATATTTTGGTTACTTAATTTTTGGTACAGTAGTCTCCGCTTAATACAATTGCTTTGAAACACAATGATTTTGATAATATTAACCAATTGGTAACAATAAGGAAAATTAGATCAATTTATCAATTTTATATTAATGAAAACAGTATTTTTGCATGTCCTGCAATGCTGAAAGCAACCAATTCTTGCAGCATATTCTTTGCCCATTTGAACCCGCTAAATTTTTAACTTTTTGTTGCATAAGCCTTCCATTTTCTGGAGCCTTCTTGAACATTTTTGAACTGCTGTATAAGATCCTTTTTGAACTTGTTTTGACAATTAAAACAATTTTTGAAAATAAATGAAAGCATTGATGACCTTAAACGATATATTGATCTCACAAAGCAATGATTTTAACATACAAATAAATAGAGAAAATTCAGGCAGTGATTTTGATAGCAGTAACTGATTGATAACATTATCTACCATGACATTAAGCTGAGACTACTGCATATAGTTTTACTATTGGAAGTTATATTGCTTTACTAAAACTTATAACTGTTTTGCATTGGAAGTGTAATGTAAGTGAAAATTAAAAATTTTCTTTAGAATTGCTATAAAAATTCTATGTTTTGCATTTATAGATTTCATTTTTTTCAAGTGTGTAATTTTATTATATGAATGTATTATTTTACAGGGCCAAAGAAATGGGGTTTATAATATGCAGTCTCACCTAACTATAGAAGGTAAAATGTTTTTTTTTTTAAACATCTTGTTAAGAAAAACTAAGAAAATTAAGAATTTCAAAATATTTCTTTTTAAATAAAATTTTTACCATGATTCTTGTGCATTAAATTAACAAAAATAAAATAAATGAATTTTAATTCAGTTACTCCGAAACAGATATCAAATCCAATCAAAGTTAGATGTATTTCACACCTTCAGATGTAAAAGTGCACCACTGAAAAAAATCACTATGCTAGTAATTTTCATTATAATAGATTACCTAACACAAAAGAAGTTTCAAATTTGGCATACAATTGTTCATAAACTAATATTTGCATCAGTAAAAATTTGAACAGAATGTTCTTTTATTTTTATAAGTAAATGAAAATTTCATACTGCTTTATTGAATGATATTTGCATTATGAGAGCAAAAATCACATAAATTAGAAATTTCTAAAACTGCAATTACAGTTACTTATTTTTTTTTTTAAATATAGATAGAATTGTTTTTAAAATTGCTGTTATGAGAGAGAGAAAAAAATAAATCTATGACATTTATTTTTATTTTTGCAATTTTCACATTTTTGATATACATACAATTGGATCCATTTTGAATCATATTTCTAATAAGTTTATTATTATTTAATTAACATTATTTTGTGAAGCTTAGATGTTATTATTTATTAACAAATTTTACTTTAAAAATGTTAGTTTTTACTAACATTTAGCGATTAAAAAAATTTACTTAATTATAATTGATTTTCAATTCTAATTCTATTTTTGTTAATTTTATATTAAATTTTTGTTTATTTCTTTTAGATAACAGTTTAACAAGACGGCAGTCAGATCGCAGTGATAATTGTAATAGTTTTCATAGCTTTGAATCTGAATCATCTAGTCTCACAAGTTCTGACACTGGGGGAGAGAAGTATGTTGAATTTTAATGTCCTCTTTTATAACTTAAGATATAATTTTTTTAATAAATTGCATCAAAATTTGTCAATAATAATAATATGTCAATAATAATAATCTGTATGTAGAAAGAGCTAACATAATCGTTAAAAAAAAAGGGCTGAACATGTTAAATTCTCATAGAAACAATAATGAAATACAACAAAAATTTTAGTAATTCATGTAATGAAAATGGTATATTACACTCAACAAATTTGTCCAACAAATAAAGTTCAAAGAGCATGTCTTGAAGTGGCAATGTAATCCTGTTTTAATTGCTTTGGCAGTGGATAAAAGTATATTTAAATATTTAAATAAATGTTACAAATTTAATTAGTTGTAGATTTATAATCATTTCCTTTTATTCAAACAACCAAAATACAGATTGTTGGTGCGCTTTTTATTTTGGACCTAACTCAAAATCCATATTTAAGCGTATGCATATTTAAGTGTTTTATATATATTTACTATCATTCATGTGCTTAACGCTTCTTGCATTTTTTAAAATTTAGTCTTCTATCAAAAGACTTTAAAGGTCTACTTTGTCTTTATATGCAAGATAGCCTTTTGCAGGCCTAAGTTGCTTTAACTACATGCAATAATATCCCATGTTTCCTATCCATGGCGAGTGGTCTCCTATTTTTTTACTTTCACAGACACTTAAGTTTTTTAAAGTGTCATCTAGTTGGCGATCTTCTGGCCTGAGATCCCATAGGATTTTTTAAAATGGCTATTTTAACTGCATTACTTTCTGGTCTTCTCCTGGTATGGCCAAGCCATCTTAACCTAATGCTAAGTATTCTACAGTTCTTTTTAAATGGTTGCCTTGGGTCTTATAAATTTATAATTGTGGTTGTAAATATGAGTTAATGCTTGTATCATTTCTCATTTTTTAAATACCATTTAATTGCTTAGAGATATGAATGCGAAAAGATCATCTGAAACTTTAAATTTGTGTTATGGTTTTTTTTAATGAGAATTCTGAACTTAACTAATAAGTAATGACATAGTTATAGTTATATTGTTTAACTCAGGTAAACTGAGGTTTCTATAGTAAGTTTTGTCACCTTATATTTTATATTTGTATTCTTTGTTTTATTTTTAAATAGTAATATAATTTGATGCAATATTTTGTTGCTAACATTTCTACTTTCCAAAAACATTTTTCAAATGATTTGTTTTTTGACATGTAAATATCAATATTATCAAAAAATCAATCCTCTTGTCAAATTTTAAAAAAAACTTTCATTTAAATAAAAAAAATGCATTTTTTAATAAATTTGCTTCCCATAAAAATGCGTTCTTAATTCTATTTTAAATGCATTTTTAAAAAATTTCCCTTTAACTACTTCTGTTCCCTAGTTTTCTTCTTTAATATGCTACTACTAAAAGCTTAAAAAATTAAATATGAGAAACACTTTAATAACTCAAAGTAGTACTTGAAGCAAAAGAGAAAAAAAAAAGGAATATATATATATCTATATATTATACACCCCTAGTTATCAAATTTCAATAAATTGAAAGTTCTTTCTATATGTGGGCTTTGTTTAAATAGTGTATTAGTTCCATTTTAGCTCATTTTGAGATGCCGAGTCTTGATGTCTAATAAGTGCATTGTTTTCCCTTCTTTTTTCTGATTTATGATGCTCTATGTTTGGTAGCAGAAATAAGTATTTGCTATACTAATTTTAAAATACGATAGAAAATACAGGAATAAAAATAAAGATTAGGCTAACTCCTTTCTTTATTAATAAGCACAGTTGGACTACAATTAAAACAAGGCATTTATTTACATGAGAAACTAAATCTTCAATAATAATAATAAATTTTTTTCTTCCGAAATGTACTATAAGCATATTTTACAAAATTTATTAAAAATAAACACAAAATGTAAATTTTTATATAGTAATGAGAAAATCATGTTATTTCCTTAGAATAAAGTGTTTAAATTAGAAAAAAATACATATATGGGGACCCCGTGACAGAATTAAGGCGAAACAGAGTTCATGTAGAAAGAGTTTACCTTTAGGAAGTAAAAATTTTTTGTTTCTTTTCTGCAGACATTTTCAATTTTTTTCTCTCTAAATTTATATTTAAAATATGCCTTTTTCGCACATCGGAGGGGAAAGAAATGTTCATGATTTTTCTATTCTTATTTGTGAAAAATAAGTAATAATGGAGTAAAAAATTTCTTTTCTGCAGAAATGTTCTAAGATTTTTTTCTCCGTAATTATATTCAAAAGGTGCCTTTTTCGCGCATCAGAGGGGAAGGAAATAAAGATATTTAGGAATATGAAAAATAAGGAATGAAGTAAAAAAATGTTGGCTTGCTTTTCTACCAAAATTTTCACAAGATTTTTTTCCCTCCAAAACTATTATATAACAAAAATTTCTCTTAAATTTTCAAAAGATTCCTTTTACACGTATCAGAGAGAAAAGAAATGTCTTTGTAACATGTATATTTGTCATTATGATAAGTATCTTACAGTAAGATATTAGTGCTAGAGAGGTTTGTCGCAGAAAGCCCAAAAAAATTCTGCCACTGGGTATGGGGGTAAATTGTTTATGTAGAAAATGTCTAGAGGACTAAGTAACTTCTGGTGATTATCATTGTATTCCTAAATATTATTTAAATCCTTTGTTTAAAATAATAATCTGATAGAAAAATTAAGTTACATTTATTTTTCATTTATTTTTTAAATTTGCATTTGAATTATTGAAATAAACAAAACATTTATAAACTTAACAGAATTTCAACATATTTTTTTCTTCTTCAATGTTAATGCTATTACACAACGAAGGATTTTAATATTATCCTAAGCTATTAAGAAATAAATTGTAAACATCTTGGTTATAATTTTTTTTTCTGGAATTTTACTTTATTTTGAAATTAGAAAAAGAAAACTATCAATGTGGTATGTTTTCCCCCCACAAATTTAATCAGAAAGTGCCTGTGCATTCTTCATTTCAAGTATTTATCTTTGTAAAATCAATCATGAAAGGATATATTACGAAAAAGCTTATTTAATTTTTTAATTTTATTTTTTGTTTTGTTTTTTGTGTTGCACTGTTATTTATTTCAAATTTTGTGAGCCAAAACTGGTGTTTCTCCAAGCAGCTAAAAAATGAGTCTTTAAATGTAAAATTTAATGTTAATTTATTGCAAATATTCCCTGGAATGGAAATACTGCAAAAATTCAGCTAGTCAGATAAAACTAGTCAAAGAAAGTTATTTAAATTGGAAGGATCTAGATTGCTGCTTGTCCAAATTTTAAAATATTAAAAATTTTCACTAACATTGAAAGTTTTCTAATGTTACATTAAAGGGATTGAGAGATCATTGATATGATTTAATAAATTTTTTTAGTAATAATTGAGAAATCAACTGAACTTGTCAAATTAATTTACATATTTGCAAGCAACAGAAGACAACCAGTTTCAAAATGCCTCACTCAAGGTACTCTAAGAATTGTTTAAAAATTTTAGCCAAGAGTTGCTAAAGCAAGCATGATTATATCATGATAATTAAAATTTTTTTGATTTGTTTTGCAATTGCCTTTATATTTCTTTTTCATTTTATTTATTATTATTATTTATTTTTGTTGAAAGTAAGGCTTCTCCTTAGAAATCTGAAATGATCTAAATTCGGATATCTTAGGATCTATTTGTTAATGCTAAAGTGATACTGTTTTTTTAGGGAAAAGAAATTGAAAAAGAGTGAAAAAATTCCAGTTAAAGAGAAAAGTCTTTATCTTTAGAATAATTTAGTAGTAACATATCTTTTCTAAGTTATTAGAATAAATTGGTAGTGTACATATCTTTTCTAAGTCCTTTATGTCAGAAGATCTCTAATTAAAGTTAATTTTATTTGCTGTACTTGAATTTTGAAATTTTCAATTTCTAACTATTGATGAATCATTTATCTCAATTGTGGATTTCAAGCAATGTCATAGATTTAATATTTCTTTTTGAAGAATTCTTCCAATTAATAGAAAAAAATCTGTTATGCCTATGCAATGTTTAAAACCAGTTTACGATGAAAACAATCTAGTTGTAGCTGCCATTATCTTAAGTGCTCAAATTGGATTTTGTTGGAGAGGAAACTAAAATGAGAAAATATTGGTCGCATGATGGAATGTGTGGTGTGTTTCTTCTTCTAAATTGCTTCAAAGTTATTTTACTTTTAAATTGATCTTTTAATTGAATCAATTACCATAACCATCATTTCACAAGAAATTAAGCGAACTCACTTTTTATTGATGCTGAAAGGTAAAAAATGTATGTTGCCCTATTATTGTTCAAGGTAACTTAAATTTTTAGTTTTTATGACAATTTGGCAAAAAAAAAAATTTTATTTTTGAATGGTTGTAATCCTTTGTTAAATTTAGCATTACCGAAAAAGTTATTAATAAAAAAGAAATTATCTTATAAAAAAAGCAATAATATTTAAAATATATTAAATGATTTTCGTGTTTCCTGGTGTATAAGTCAAAATTTCAAGTGTCCAAAAGTTGCAAAAATCAGGGGGTTAACTTATACACCATTAATAAAGGTGGATATTTGTTGATCGTGAATTTTGGATGCATTATAAACAAAGAGATAGATATGATCTGTATCAATTTACCCCTTTAAAAAATTATATTTAATATGTTATGTACAATTAATTTTGCATTTTCTCTCATGTTTTTTTGATTTATAAAGGTTTTTTTAGAAACAGTTCTTAAAATTACATTCAGAAAAAAATAAGAAAAGTTAAGATAATTTATTCAAGATTATTTCAATATTTTTAACTGGAGAAATTATCTTAGACTTAACAATTTTTAAAGTTTTTTTTTACTGATTGACTTACGCATGATATACCAGAAATTTGCTATCTTGTAGTCAAAAATAGGGGATTGACTTTGTACTGGTTTGTTGGGTAAATATTTAAAAAAAGTTAAACATACAATTGAAGCAAAAAAAAAAAAAAAAAAAAAA